TTATATGACATTTCTGGTGCTACAGAAAATGTCTTCCAATTCTGGAATTACCCTCAAACAAAACCCTTTAGAGGGGTTAATGTGAGTTCAATATGTTATCTGTGTTCAGTCCGGTGTGAAGCTGCAGTGATGTTGAAATGTATTAGATCAGCTGCAGAGATAAACAACGGATATCCAGTAAGGGGGGGTGGGTTGGCTTTCTGGAGCGATAAGGCAGCGAACGTTACTAATAGTTAAGTCGACATTGCAGATTCTCACATCTTATTTATGAGAGCTGAAGGGTCTCTGTCTTTGATGAAACATCCATTTACATTTGACTTGCTTTAATGTAAAAAGAAAAATGGTTGTTCTGATTCAAAGCTAATGCAGGATGCTTGCTCGTCATGGAAGTTGTTTGCACTTCTTGTCTGAATGAGATGTGATGTAAAGGACATTCAGAGTTATAAACACTGTCCACTAAACACTGGAAATACACGGAGGAATCACAGAACACAGGGTAAGACTAAGATAAACATGTATTTATTTGCAGATGATATGGTCATCACATGTTATAAAGATAGGACTGTTACTGACTTCATTAAGGGTGAAGACCCCTCAAACACATCCCAACACAGCAGACACAGCACACAGAGATATTAAACTGAGCTCAAGCTGCTGTATCTTCAAAAACAATCAGTAGATATTAAAAGTAGCTCTGAAATCTTCAGGCAATATAAGAAAGTAAAACATTTCTTTTTTTAAAGAGTAAAATGCTAAAAGGTTCAAATCCAGCTGCTAAATAAACCTAACTTCATACAAAACAATGATCTTAAAGTCTTCCTGATGTGAAACACGATGATGGATGTAGACGTTGTTGATCAGTGGAGTCTGATGGAGGCAGAAGTGTTGCTCAAACTCCATCAGGAGGTCTGATGTTTTCTCAGTTCACTGTACCATCATCTACATCATAACGCACCTGAGGAAAACAACAACAACAACAACAACAACAACAACAACAACAACAACAACAACAACAACAACACTGAGTTGGTTTTAGATCCAAACATTACATTTGGAAAATCCTGTAGGATGTGATGTAATTTAGGTAAACCAGCCTTTGTCTGTTTCTCTCTCTTCTGTCTTTATACAGATTATAATGAAGAGTGTAAAGAAACAACTGTAAAAACAGTTCAGTATTTTGTTGTAAATCTGTGAATGTTCTCACCTTTAATTCTTGTCCATATGTTGACCGCCACAACGATCATAATGAGTGTTGCTAAACCCACAGACACCACGATGAGCCTCAAGAGACCTGGAGAGAGAATACAAACATTTATGTTGTAGGTTTCTGATGTATTCTTTAAAAATAAGCCGAAAACGCAAAACGTGTTCAGTTAAAAATGATCCTATTATAAAAATATAAAAGTCTTCAGTATCAAACTGTCTTTCGTGAACCATCTGTTGTGATATAGTTATAGCACTTTAAAGCCATAAAATACAAATGTTTTATTTAATTAATCGGTGAGTTTAAAGTGACTTTGAGCATCTCAACATGTTTTCTCACCTGAGGACGGAGTGCTGAAGGGAAACAGAAATACTTCCCCTGTGTGATCATCAGTTAGTTGACAAGTAAATAAATGAAGCCCTGATCTGTATCCAACATGAGAAGTCAGAAATGTCACAGAGGCCTCGTAGTGAGATTCTGATGTGTTCATATCTTTGAGATCTTTATCCACATCCTGACCCTGGAACAGCCACTTCACTGTGTGTCTGTACCATGCATTATTCAACACAGAGCAGCGTAACGTCACCTCATCATTGTCCTGATGTTCAGTCACTGAAGGTGGAGATATTGAGAGAGAAAGACAACAAGAGTTCAATTAGCTTCATCACTGTAATCATAACTGCTGGTATGTTTCAGTATATTTATAGATGCAGTTTACAACACTGTGATGTTAATACTCACAGCTAACAACAGTCAGGTAAACATGAGCGTCTTCTCCTTGTTGTCGTCCTGATCTGATCTGTGTGCAGATGTAACGACCAGCATCCTCCTCTCTGACCTCCTGTAAACCCAGAGAACAATTCTCTGCGACACTCAGTCTGTCTGATTTAGTTTTAGCTTCTTCAACAATCTGCCCACGTTTAACCTGATCTACTTCTCTGGGTCCTAAATGATTGAAGGTCCAGTCAGTACCGTTACATCCGTCCTGATCATCTCTCACTCCGCTACAAGGCAAAGTGACTTCCTCTCCAACTCTGACAGTGAAGAAGAGGGAAGGCTGTCTTTAACTGCCGCTGTAAACACCAGAGAAATATAAAGAAGTCGGTGTTACGGACCGTCTACACAGCAGCGTTAAAAAAATCTTGGAGGTGGGCGTATCTGAAGCTTGGGGATTTTTTGCGAACAACCAATCACATGAATCTCCCGCCCGCGACATACGAAGCAAAAAAGTTTGAAGTAAACTGGATATAAACTCCCCAAAACAGGCGAAAACCTACCACTGTCTCTGCCACCTCCCTCCATGCCTGGCTCCTCCGGTTTATATCCCGGTAGGTAAATAGGGACTGGTCATAAAGCACCGGGTGATTCCCTACCGCTAATTTTTCCTCCATGTTTTGGAATATGAGGAAATGACCTGCGGTATGTCTCTCCCAGCATACACGCCGTTTGATTGGCTAGAGCTTGAACTGTCAGATTTGCGTACACGGGATTTGATTGGCTGACGCTTCCACCTCAGCCTCAAAAGTTGAACATTGTTCAACTTTGAATCCTGAAAATCCTGAAAATCTCCGCTCGCCTGCCCACAATGCAGTTCGGCGAAAAGTGAGGGAAAGTGACGTCACCCCATTCAAAGTGAATGGGCAGAAGCGTTTCAAGATTTTTTTAACGCTGCTGTGTAGACGGTCCGTTAGGAAAATCCTACATTTACCAAAGTTTCAATATGCCTCATTATTGGATTCCAAAAGTTAAACTCACTATTTACCTCCCAGAAAAAAAACTACTTGACTGTAGTGTTTAAATCACAGGTTTTAAACCCAATACCTCATTGTATGTGGCCCGCGAGAGCTTGCAAAGAAGATAAAACGTCTATTATACGCTTATATGACGCTTTATAGATCCACGGTGCCCATAAACTACATGTCCCACAATGCATCTCCTTCTGTGACATGCCACTGAAGCGTCTTTATATCAGCCGTTTTAATCAGCGGCACTCTGAGTGAGGCGGTCAGTGAAAGAGCTGGAGGAAGTGAGAGTCAGTCGGTGTCTGTATGTTTTAAAAAAAAACGTGCGTTTCGGGTGCTTTGGTCGATTCAAAAACATGAGGTCTTGGCTTGCAGAGTATGAACGTCATATATTCAGACAGTGTAAAGTTTGTGAATGCAGGAGGAAAACTTCTGCGTTCACCGTCTCCTCTGTGATCCTCCCGTGAGTGACAGGGTCTGGGACAGGGGGTTTCAAACTCTTGGCTTTCAGACTATTCAAAGATTGTATTAAGGAGGCGTGTGGCGCAGTGGACTAATGCGTTGGTGTTCAGATCAGGGGAGCACAGGTTCAAACCCCACTGCAGTCAGCATGTCGTTGTGTCCCTGAGACACTTCACCCCAAATTGCTCCTGTGGGGATTGTCCACAGTATTGAGTATGTAAATCGCTTTGGATAAAAGCGTCTAACAAGTGACATGTCATGTAATGTAATTGTTGCTGAATTAAAATTATTTATAGCCTACTTAAATAGTGCTTGACCTAATTATCAATATCTAATTGATGAGATATGATGAGGCTAACTAAGTCTCCTACATTCACGGGATTTATATAACAGTAACACAGAATAATGTTAGTGAGCAAACACATGCAGTCATTTTGTGTCTATGTGCATTCACAATATGTCGATGCACAACCATGTTTTTGTTACCAAACCCATTTTTTTAAGCAATTGTTGAATATTTGCACTTGACTTCTGCTTCCAGACGTAGTTATATATGAAGTTATTACCAGAACCAATAATAATCCAATGCAGAGGCAATAATGTAATATAATACGTTATTTTATATATATATATTATATATGATATATAATGCTAATGAAGCCGGCAATGAAATTGAGTTTGACACCCCAGGTTTAAATGAAGGTTGGCTGATAAAATCAATTTAACAACATCTATAAATTGGCTTTTTAAATGTTCCTGATATACATAGACACATCATCTTTACTCTTACCTGTAGACTGAAGCAGCAGAACGAGAAATAAAGACATTTTAACCCGTTTGAACTCATCCATCTTGATTCTCCATCTCTCTGCTTCCTCTATCTCTTGTTCTGATGTGATGTCTCTAAAAAAGTGGTTTATCTGAGAGGCTGCACCCACTTCCTGTGATAAGTAGGACCCCACCTTCTAGAAGTGACTTTACATTGTTGTATATTTGAATTTGTCGTGGACGTCAAGACAGCCAAACAATGTTTGAAACTCGGTCACGGTCGGTTGTTTCCGTGAACGACTGAATGTTCAGTCACGGTTCAGGCCGCAAGGTATTGTGGGACAGAATTTTTTTTTTAAAGTACACACTGAAACCACTTGTTTTACAACTGTATTTAAAAGTACATTTAACACAACTAGTGCATGTTTGAGCATTTTAGGCATGGATTACATGACATTTCATAGGCAGGACAGAACATGTCCCTAAAATAAGACACTTTATAGAGTTCTGCACGAGGTTTAATCTGATCTGTGGTCAGTCCGGTTTGAGGCTGCTGTGAACATTGCAATTTCTCACATCATATTTCATGAGAGCTGAAGTTTTTTTTTTATTTGAAGCCGTCCATTTTCATTTAACTTGCTCTAATGTAAAAATAAAGCACCTTAAAATGGTTGTTCTGATTCAAAGCTAATGCAGGATGCTTGCTCGTCATGGAAGTTGTTTGCACTTCTTGTCTGAATGAGATGTGATGTAAAGGACATTCAGAGTTATAAACACTGTCCACTAAACACTGGAAATACACGGAGGAATCACAGAACACAGGGTAAGACTAAGATAAACATGTATTTATTTGCAGATGATATGGTCATCACATGTTATAAAGAAAGGACTGTTACTGACTTCATTAAGGGTGAAGACCCCTCAAACACATCCCAACACAGCACAGCTAAATGAAAGGAGGTTCAAATGATTCTCGTGCACACAGAGATAAAATACTGACCTCAAGCTGCTGTATCTTCAAAAACAATCAGTACATATTTAAATGAGCTCTGAACTCGTCAGGCCATATGAGGAAGTAACAAAAGAAAAAGGAGAAATGCTCTTTCCTGCTAAAGGAAGTTAAAACCAAGCTAAATAAATGTAACTTAGAACAGAACAATGAGTAACTCAAAATGATCTTAAAGTCTTCCTGATGTGAAACACGGTGATGGATGTAGACGTTGTTGATCAGTGGAGTCTGATGGAGGCAGAAGTGTTGCTCAAACTCCATCAGGAGGTCTGATGTTTTCTCAGTTCACTGTACCATCATCTACATCATAACGCACCTGAGGAAAACAACAACAACAACAACACTGAGTTGGTTTTAGATCCAAACATTACATTTGGAAAATCCTGTAGGATGTGATGTAATTTAGGTAAAGCAGCCTTTGTCTGTTTCTCTCTCTTCTGTCTTTATACAGATTATAATGAAGAGTGTAAAGAAACAACTGGAAAAACAGTTCAGTATTTTGTTGTAAAAACTCACAGTGATTTCCTCCATCTGTGTTTTCTTCTCTGAAAGAGAAAGGCGACTTGAGTTTCTACAAATAAAATATAAAATATATTTACGTTTCATCTGTGAATGTTCTCACCTTTAATTCTTGTCCATATGTTGACCACCACAACGATCATTATGAGAGCTGCTAAACCCACAGACATGAGGATGACTCTCAAGAGTCTTGGAAACAGAATAAAACCTATAGAAAATATTCATAGATTTTAGATTTCAACATGGGACAATCAGAGATATATCAGAGATTGAAATGCACTTAAAGTAACTTTATCTGGCAAATACCTTATCCTGACAATAATATGTTGTGTTATCTGGGAACAGTTTTGTTGAAGCATCTCTGATTACAGAAGCTGTCGTAGTGATACCTGATTTGGGATTTTCAGTTGTCGCTGGTTCAGTTGTCGCTGGTTCAGTTGTCGCTGGTTCAGTTGTCGCTGGTTCAGTTGTCGCTGGTTCAGTTGTCGCTGGTTTTGTGTCCTTACCTGAAGAGATTAACAAAACTCGACAAATTGTTCGGTATCAAACTGTCTTTAGTGAACCATATGTTGTGATGTAATAATAGCACTTTAAATCCTTAAAATAAAAATATTGTTTGAAGTGAATCGGTCAGTTTGAATTGAAACTTTAAACATCTCAACATGTTTTCTCACCTGAGGGCTGAGGGCTGAAGGGAAGCTGAAGTTGTTCTCCTGTATAAACATTCGTTATATCACAAGTATATGACAACCTTGATGAGGGACTAACATCAGCAGGCTGAAATGTGAAAGAGGCCGAGCAGGTATGCCCGGATGTATTGAGATCTGTATCCACATCCCAACCCTGATTCAGCCAAGTCACTTGGTGGGAACAATATTCAGGATTCACCACAGAGCAGCTTAACGTCACCTCATCGTTTTCCTGATGTTGAGTCACTGAAGGTGGAGATATTGTGAGAGAAAGACAACAAGAGTTAGATTATCTTCATCACTGTAATCAAAACTGCTGGTATGTTTCAGTAGAGACAGTTTGAAAACACTATGATGTAACAACCCAGTCTCACGGCATTTCGTGTTATAGTCACAAAATTAATTTAATCTATTGATTCGTGTTCACCAACAAGATTTTCACCTTTTTTTCGTGTCACACAGAACGATTTTAAAAGCAATGTATTTCTATTGGTAGTATGTTTCGTGCCTGCAACACGTCTTTTTGTCCGGTCGGGTCTTGGAAGACCAGAAGCTGTGTGGTTCATAAAAAACATGTTCTTACTCAATATCTTACCCTAAGCCTAACCCTATCCCTTTTATTTTAAATTGTATAATGTGTGAGTTTTTTTGCCGTCAGTGAGGAAAAGAAATGGCTCAGAGCCTCAGAATACTGACATCTGGATTTTATGTCATCTTTTTTTCCTTCTAATTTGTTATTATTTACATTGCTTTTTAAATCGTTCTGTGTGACACGAAAAAAATTGCGAAATCGTGTTGGTGAACACGAATCAATAGATTAATTTCGTGACTATAACACGAAATGCCGTGAGACTGTGTTGGATGTAAATACTCACCGGTAGCAACAAACAGAAGAAGATTAGAGGATTCTCCTGATCTGATCTGTGTGCAGGTGTAAAAACCAGCATCCTCCTCTGTGACCTTCTTTATAACCAGAGCACAATTATGTGTAACATTCAGTCTGTCTGATTCAGCTTCTCCATCAATCTGCCTAGTTACAACCAGATTTTCTGCTTCACCGAAGCTCCAGTCACAGTTATCCTGGTTATCTCCCTCAATGTCACAAGGCAAAGTGACTTCATCTCCAACTCTGACAGTGAGGGAGTTTTCCTGACCAGTTACTGCTGCTGATAAGAGAGACATATAAAGAATATGCAGGAAAGAAAGTGTTACTATTAATATCAGTGATAATATTATTAGTACAAAGTTTCTATATGTGCCTCATCAGTGGTTTCCAAGAGTTAAACTCACTATTCACCTTGCTGAAAAATGAAAAAGCTACTTGACTGTCGTGTTTAAATGAAGGTTAGCTCATACATTTCCATTTACGACATTAATAAATGCTTTTTAAATGTTCCTGCTATACATATACACATCATCTGTACTCTTACCTGTAGACTGAAGCAGCAGAATGAGAAATAAAGACATTTTAATCCGTTTGAACTCATCCATCTTGATTCTCCGTCTCTCTGCTTCCTCTATCTCTTGTTCGGATGAAATGTGTCTGTTACGACTGGGGCACACACAAAAATGATAGGACCCAAATGCACGACTCCAGACAAAAGATGATTCAAAAAAGGATTTACTTGTGGTGATATTACAATATAATACAAAAACGCTCAAAAGACTTCTCAAAAGCTAACCTAAATTCACTGTAGCACAGAACACAACTGGCTGACAGGCATCACAAGAATCAAAACGATCTGGCACTTGGCACAGAGAAAACAGGGAATAAATACACATACAAGGGACTCCACAGGTGCAAACAATAAGGGCGGGGCAGGTAATCAGGTCAATTGGCACACCTGACCAGGTAGGAGTCAAACTACCTGAAATTAGAGAAGGATCTCACAAAGTAAAACAGGAAATGACAGACAACAAAAAAGGGTTGGCAGACGCGGACTTGACAATATGAACTAAACAGAGAAATAATACTAACAAATCTGGCGAGACACAACAGTGTCTGAGAAAGTGGTTTATCTGAGAGATGCTGCACCCACTTCCTGTGATAAGTAGGACCAACCTTCTAGAAGTGACTTTACATTTTTGTATATCTGAATTTGTCATAGACGTCAAAACAGCCAAAACATTTTTGAGAAGTGTTTTTCTAAAGTTGAACGTTCCTGCATGCATTGATCCAATCTAATGCAACAAACATGAAACTTGAAACTCGGTCACGGTCGGTTGTTTCCGTGAACATGTTCAGTCACGGTTCAGGCCGCAAGGTATTGTGGGACAGAATTTTTTTTTAAAAGTACACACTGAAACCACTTGTTTTACAACTGTATTTAAAAGTACATTTAACACAACTAGTGCATGTGTGAGCATTTTCTCCTTTCCTTTCCTAAAGAATTGTCCAGTGTTCCCTAACCTAAAGGAGATTCTAAAGGAAGTTTCAAAGCTCCTTTCCTATCATCCGTAAAGCCCGCGTCACACTGTCCCGAAATTGACACCAGATGGAAACACGATAAAGGAAATGTTCAAATTCGGCTCTGATCGTAACAACATCGGGCCATTCGTGAGGGCATCTTAAGCCATTGTATGACCGCCGGTGGAGTTTCTCAGGCTCCGGCAGCAACTTCGCGAACGGTGGCAAAATCTTTGGCATGCCAAAATATTGCTGAAGGACCTTGCTAAGGTTCATTTTCGTGTTGAATTCGTGTGTCCATTTTGCCCTTCGTTTGTTTGTTTGTTTGTGGCCTTTATTTAACCAGGTGAATCCCATTGAGATCAACGATCTTCGTAAGGCACCCGTGAGGGCATCTTGTCAAATTGTGTCATCTTCGTCTGATCATCGGTGCCATCGGGCATTTTTCGCCCCGATGGAACCGATGATCAGACGAAGATGAACCGTGCACGTGAATGCACGCACGAGTCATGGTGAGATATCTGGATTGAGAGGTTGCTCTTTCTTTGCACAGCATGAAAGAAAGGCCAAATGAATGGGCTGTGCTTTTAGTTTTTTTAAGCAGAGGTCAATCATTTGTACGGCCCTCGGAGGATGTTGAAAAAATTGAAATGGCCCTTGAGAGGAAAAAGGTTCCCCACCCCTGATCTACATCATAACGCACCTGAGGAAAACAACAACAACACTGAGGTGGTTTTAGATCCAAACATTACATTTGGAAAATCCTGTAGGATGTGATGTAATTTAGGTAAAGCAGCCTTTGTCTGTTTCTCTCTCTTCTGTCTTTATACAGATTATAATGAAGAGTGTGAAACAACTGTAAAAACAGTTCAGTATTTTGTTGTAAAAACTCACATCTATCTGTGTTTTCTTCTCTGAAAAGTAAAGAGAAAGTCGCCTTAAGTTTCCACTTTTAAAAATATAAAATATATTTACGTTTCATCTGTGAATGTTCTCACCTTTAATTCTTGTCCATATGTTGACCGCCACAACGATCATAATGAGTGTTGCTAAACCCACAGACACCACGATGAGCCTCAAGAGACCTGAGAGCAGTGGCGGCGCCAGGGTATGGCTGGGGTAGGCTACAGCCATACCAAGAAATGGCTTAGCCCCACCTCAGCCCCACCATGAAAAATGATGTTAAAGTAAGCAAAATAAAGTCCGTCAACTCGCGCGGAGTAAATTGCACAGACAGCAGTTAGTAAGATTGATTTCAGTAGCCACTTGTCTGGAAATACCGAAGACTAGAAACAGTTTTGAAAACTTTTGTCACGTAGTGATCGTCTTCTCAATAAAACATCTTTGATAATGTCTTCTGGCCAATCAGAATCACGATAACGGCGTGGTGTTGTTGCAGGAAGTCCCGACGGAGAATACCTTTGCTGTAGTACATCTGGCTACATCGATACAACATTACGTGTTGATTTAATAAGACCCCACGGTTTGATGATTGATAGGTGTGTGCACTGCTGCAGCAGGTTCAGCTTTCAGAACAAAGTAACAAAACAAAAATGGCATTCATTTTTTTTTAAATGTGTAATAGATGTATGTATTTTTCTTCTCAAGAGAGTACCAGAATGTGTATTTTGTGTTAGTATTTCAAAAAATCTCCTGGGAGAGAATCCCCCAGACCCCTCTGCAGGGGTTGGGTTTTCAGCATGTCAACTCTTTCACCTGTGGGGAAATTGCAGGATTGGCTCCAGGTCGCCCTTTTTGTTTACTACAAGACAAATACTGATTTGAGCCCCACCACTGTATGGGTTAGCCCTACCATAGATTACCCAACAAAAATACTCTGGAGCCGCCACTGCCTGAGAGAGAATACAAACATAGAAGATATTCATGTCGTAGGTTTTAGAGTTCAACATAGGACAATGAGAGATACTGTACAGTGTTCCCCCCCCCCCCCCCCCCCCCCCCCCCCCCCGGCAAGAAAGGCCCCTTAGGCGCCGTTTACACGAGGAGAAAACTGCTTGTATCTGCATAGTTTCGCGTGCGTATAGCCCTATTATTTACACGAGGCCGATAGAAACTGACCCCAGACACAATAACGGGTCCCAAGGTGGGACGCTCTGGGGGGTCAACCGAGTCCGTGTAATCACCTCGATACGAATATTTCCTGAAAAAATAACGATAGCCCCGCCTCTCCCCACCTCTCCTGCAGCAACTATCAAAAATAGCTGTGTTAATTAAACGCACAAGGGGTTCTTGAATGAAATAATATTATAAAAGGCAAACCAGAATTGTTAACGCCCAATATACTCCTTAAACAAAATAAACAGAGTCAGATTTCATGCATTGATCCATTATATTGACAAAGGAGGATCTCACCCGTTGTTTGTAGAGAATATCTCTCTCTTTCTGAGCCGTCCTCTCCACGGAGACCTTCTTGGTCGGGATGCAATATCCACAGATTCGGTTTCTTTCAGTTTCTTTCAGTTTCAGTTTCAGTTTCGGGGCTTAAACAGAAGGGTAGCCATGGCAACATTGCAGCGGGTCTGCTCGGTTGCTCTTCTTCGCGGCTTTTGGTGTATTTTGGCGGAAGTTACAGCGCCACTTACAGTCCCAGCATATGTACTACAGCGTTTCCAGCGGCCTCGTTTGAACAGACACGTTAAATGAAACTAATGCATGTGAACGGAAGACTTTTTTGAATACGCATACTGTGCATAAACGCAAATGGTCCCGTGTGAGCGGGACCTATTCAGGTGGCCCACGCATCCACCCCCCCCCCCGTCAAATAAGAAAATACATGCGAGTTCATGGCTACTGTAGCAGACAACGTTCTTGTTGCTCTGTGTTGCGTTGTTAATGAGTGAGACACACCGGAGTTGAGGATCTGTGGGGTTTATTCTCCCAAAAATATAATTTACAATTTACAATTTAGGCATTTAGCAGACGCCTTATTCCAAAGCGACTTACAATGACCAATTACATTGGAGTAACTGAGGGCTAAGTGCCTTACTCAAGGGCACACTACTAGTGGTGGTGTTCCTGGTGAACTCGCAACCTTCCGATCATCAGCCCACCTCACTATCCATTAGACCACCATTATGAGATCTATTTGTGGCGGATGATATTCATTTGTGGTGCCACAAATGAATCGATGAATGGGAAACACTGCTGTATATTGGAGATTAAAATGCACTTTATCTAAATGAAGTAACTTTATTTGGCAAATACCTTGTTCTGAAAAATACAAAAATATGTTGTGTTATCTGGGAACAGTTTTGTTGAAGCATCGCTGATTACAGAAGCTGTCGTAGTAATACCTGATTTTAGATGAACTACTCTTGTGAGTTCATGGATGAGGAGACGGAGGAAGAGCACAGCGTAGAGAAACATTTCTTTATTTGCAGAATATATGATCAGGTTAAACAAGAGGAAACTGTGACTGACATCATTAAGGCTGAACATTGAACATATAAATAGATAGATAGATAGATAGATAGATAGATAGATAGATAGGTAGGTAGGTAGGTAGGTAGGTATAGGTAGGTAGATAGATAGATAGATGGATAGATAGATGGATAGATAGATAGATAGATCGGTAGGTAGGTAGGTAGATCAGATCAGTTGTGTGATTACTTTGAAATCAACTCATGTGCTAAGATGAGATGACACACAGATTTATTTCCAAACCACTGCTCATACAGTATCGGCATCAATTCCCCTCTCCCCACTTGTAACAAGCCTAGGTGTGAAACTGGACACACCTAGACCTAAACAGGTAGGTAGGTAGGTAGGTAGGTAGGTAGGTAGGTAGGTAGGTAGGTAGGTAGGTAGGTAGGTAGGTAGGTAGGTAGGTAGGTAGGTGGGTGGGTAGGTAGGTAGGTAGGTAGGTAGGTAGGTAGGTAGGTAGGTAGGTAGTAGGTAGGTAGGTAGGTAGGTAGGTAGGTGGGGGGTAGGGTAGGTAGGTAGGTAGGTAGGTAGGTAGGTAGGGGGTAGGTAGGTAGGTAGGTAGGTAGGTAGGTAGGTAGGTAGGTAGGTAGGTAGGGTGGGTAGGTAGGTAGGTAGGTAGGTAGGTAGGTAGGTAGGTACAGTAGGTAGGTAGGTAGGTAGGTAGGTAGGTAGGTAGGTAGGTAGGTAGGTAGGTAGGGGGTAGGTAGGTAGGTGTGGTAGGTAGGGTAGGTAGGTAGGTAGGTAGGTAGGTAGGTGGTAGGTAGGTAGGTAGGTAGGTAGGTAGGTAGGTAGGTGGGTAGGTAGGTAGGTAGGTAGGTAGGTAGGTAGGTAGGTGGGTAGGTAGGTAGGTGGGTAGGTGGGTGGGTAGGTAGGTAGGTAGGTAGGTAGGTGGGTAGGTAGGTAGGTAGGTACAGTAGGTAGGTAGGTACTTTATTGATCCCAATTTGGGAAATGTTTGCGTTGCAGCAGCATAAAAAACAAGGCAATGTACATAAGAGAAATATATGTGAAGAGCAATGCTACGTGAAAATACATTCACATAAGTTATTCTGCACACAGAGATATTAAAATGAGCTCCAGCTGTTGTAGTTTCAAAAACAATCATTATATATTAAAATCAGCTCTGAAACAGAAGGAAAGTTAACAAGAATTGATTGTGATTTCCTGTTCAAATAAGTTAAAATCCATCTGCTTAATAAATCCAAATATAGATAAAACAATACAACATTTAAAATGTTCTTAAAATCTTCCATGATGATGGATGTAGACGTTGTTGATCAGTGGAGTCTGATGGAGGCAGAAGTGTTGCTCAAACTCCATCAGGAGGTCAGATGTTTTCATAGATCACTATTCCATCATCTACATCATAACGCACCTGAGGAAAACAACAACAACAACAACACTGAGTTGGTCTTAATAATAATAATAATAATAATAATACATTTGATTTATATAGCACACTTTAAAGACAACGTCATCTCAAGGTGCTTCACAAAGCTATAAGGAGAAAATAATAAAACAAATAAAATAAATATATATCTAAAGGAGCATATTGAATAAAATATGGTAATATAAAAAATAAAAAGAGCATAAAAGGTTTAACAAATTAAAAAATTAAAATAAAATAAAGGACAGTCAGTAAAATTAGGGATGCTCCGATCGCCAATTTTGGGGCCGATCGCCGGAATCAGTATCTGCCGATACCGATCGCCGATCCGATCGAGTGGGCGGGGCCTAAATGGAAGATTTAAACATCACTTTAAATCTTCCATTTAAAGTGATGTTTAAAACTCAGTTAATGGGGCTCATTCACTGGAGCTTCCACAAACAACAATCAACTTAATTATTACATTCAAATTATGTATATTATTCAAGTTTACATTCACTTTGGATAATACCACGGGAGAAATTAGCAAGCGCTCTCTTTTCCTCTCTCTCCCTCTCTCTCTCCCCCCTCTCTCCCCCTCTCTCTCTCTCTCTCTCTCTCTCTCCTGACAGCCCGTCAGTATCGTCTCATGCAGCTCGCTGATCCAGTAATGAGTGAGGCCGACAGTGAAGAATAAATATATGTATAACTAGTTTAGCTTGTTCCAGAGGTAGATAAAATAGCTAAGTGTGTTAGGTCTAACTCTTATGGCGCATTTCCACTACACGGTCGGCCTCGGCCACACTCTGTACGGCTCGGTACGGCTTGGCCGCGTTGGGCCTTAACAGGGCCGACTCACTTCATGCTGCGCTTCCATTACAGTTTAGGAACTGGGGTAGTTACTATAGTAACGCAGTGTAGGCGGAGCCGTGACGTCATCTTCAATGAGAAATCCAGAAACACAACACAGCCGTTAGCTGTGAGCACTCAGAGCTCACAGCTCCTTATATATGTTCAGAAACTCGACAAAAGTTAAACAAGTACACACCACAGACTGCCTGTGTCATGGTGAATACAGTCGCTACTTTATTTATGTCTGTATAGGCCGTTGTTGTGAGTGTGGACGGTCGGGGCATATACTGCGTTAGCTTAGCCAATCTCCATCTAGAAAAACACGAATTTTAAAAGGTTTTTCGCCTGCCGTCTGTCTGCAGACTTGACAAAGCATTAATTCATGGTTTTTACTAACCGGTATCAGTATGTTGTTACTTCGGCATCATTTTGAAACGTGTATTACAATTAAATCACGGTCAAATATGTCCATCTTGTTGTAGTTCTAGCCCTCTTGCCAGCGCTCCTCTCTCTAGTTTAGCATACTCAGCCCGACTCAGCCCTGTTTCTTTGCCCCCGATAGAACCACAATTTTCTAGGGCCAGAAAAGAGGGGAAAAAGTGGCCCCGCGCCGTGCCGCGCCGGAACGAGGCCTAGTGGAAGCACAACCAAAAAAGGGGACGGCACGACACGGCACGCTTAAAGCGAGCTACGCGCTGCAATGGAAATGCGCCATTAGTGTGTGTTGCTCCGCTCACCGGTCCGTCACAGCGGGTGGAGCTGCAGGATTTCTGCTTCACACACGTTGCATACCGGCCGCTATTTTACTGTCTTTTTCGGACACCTTCAAATAATGCCAGACCGGTGAAGCCATTTTGGCGAGCTTGTTTTGCCGCGTACAGAGAAAAGTGTCATGTATTTTACGTCATGCGATCGGCCCTCGCGATCGGCATGTTTAGAGAGCACCGATCGATCGGTAGAGAGTGAGTATCGGCCGATATCGATCGGTGACCGATCGATCGGAGCATCCCTAAGTAAAATGCGGTGTGGAACAGGTGGGTCTTGAGCAGTGGCGGCGCCAGAGTATTTTTGTTGGGTAATCTATGGTAGGGCTAACCCATACAGTGGTGGGGCTCAAGTCAGTATTTGCAATGTAATTACATACACGCTATATCGCCCCCCCCCTCCCCCCCCGACAGTGAAACGCCACGCGTGAGGTTTAGCTTATTTCCCTGTCTTAATCCAAATTGAACTGTATGAAATTCATAAAAAGGCACATTTGTCTTGTGGTAAATAAAAAGGGCGACCTGGAGCCAATCCTGCAATTTCCCCACAGGTGAAAGAGTTGACATGCTGAAAACCCAACCCCTGCAGGGGGGTCTGGGGGGATTCTCCCCCAGGAGATTTTTTGAAATACTAAAATAAAATACACATTCTAGTACTCTCTTGAGAAGAAAAATAAATAAATCTATTACTACACATTTAAAAAAATGAATGCCATTTTAGTTTTTTGTTACTTACTTTGTTCTGAAAGCTGAACCTGCTGCTCCTCACAGAGAGAAGAGGCTTTGTGAATTACTTTACATTGTGGATAAGGGTGGATAGCCCCCATTGTTCTGTGTGTCAAAATGAAAGACAGCCCACACACACCTATCAATCATCAAACCGTGGGGTCTTATTTCATTACGTGTTGATTTCTATCAACACGTAATGTTGTATCGATGTATATAGAGATGTACTACCGCAAAAGTATTCTCCGTCGGGACTTCCTGGAACAACTCCACGCCGTTATCGTAATTCTGATTGGCCAGAAGACATTATTAAAGATGTTTTATTGAGAAGATGATCACTACGTGACAAAAGTTTTCAAAACCGTTTCTAGTCTTCGGTATTTCCAGACAAGTGGCTACTGAAATCAATCTTACTAACTGCTGTCTGTGCAATTTACTTCGCGCGAGTTGGCGGACTTTATTTTGCTTACTTTAACATCATTTTTCATGGTGGGGCTAAGGTAGGGCTAAGCCATTTCTTGGTATGGCTGTAGCCTACCCCAGCCATACCCTGGCGCCGCCACTGGTCTTGAGGCATTTCCTAAAAACTGAGATTGATGCCGAGGTCCGTATGTTCTCTGGAAGCTGATTCCACAGACGTGGACCCAGGGAGGAGAAAGCACGGTCTCCCATGGTGACCAGTTTTGTCCGCGGAACAGCCAGGAGATTGGAGCTGTCTGACCTGAGTGTGCGTGAGGTACTGTATGGAATGTTTTCTGGTTAGCAGTTCCTGTAGGTAGGTGGGGCCAGTGTGGTTGATGGCGTTGAAGACCATTATGAGGACTAGTTGATCCGGTGGTTTACAGGGAGCCAGTGGAGTGAGTGAAGGATGGGGGTAATGTGCTCTGATTTGCGTGTTTTTGTGAGTATCCGGGCGGCACAGTTTTGTACATATTGTAGTCTCTGAGTGGTTTTTGCTGGAATGCCTGCAAGCAGAGAATTGCAGTAGTCAATGCGGGAGGTGATGAAGGCATGGACCAGTTTTTCTGCGTCCGGTTTCGTGAGGGAGTGTCGCATTTTGGAGATGTTCCTCAGGTGGTAGTATGAGGCTTGGCAGACCGTTTTTATGTGTGCTTGGAATGAGAGGGATGAGTCCAGTTTCACACCTCGTTACAAGTGGGGAGAGGGGAATGGAGTGGCCATTGATGCTGATATGAGGGATATCAGTTGTTTGTGTTTGATGTGGTGTTCCAATCAGAATGGCCTCTGATTTGCTGCCATTCAGTTGGAGGGAGTTGTTGCTCATCCAGTGGTGTATGTGTTCCAGGCATCTTGAGACTTTTGAAAGTGCCAGATGTTTATCCGGGGCAGTTTGGAAATAAATCTTTGTGTCATCTCATCTTAGCACATGAGTTGATATCAAAGTAATCACACAACTGATCTGATTCATTCTCACTGACTTCGGGGGAATATTGTATACGTTGTGATGTAATTTAGTGAATCATCTCTTTAATCTGAACTCATCATGTTTTTACTGACGGTGTCAAAGAGGTGTTGATTCAGATCTATGGTCTCTCTGGAGGCTGTACTTTGTGTCTGTAATGAACTGCATTATATTCCATGTTCATCTAATATTTGCATCCTCTTCACTTGTGCTGTTTATTTCTGTCTTCTTCTAGTTTATAATGAAGAGAGAGTAAAAACAGTTCATTATTTTGTTTTAAAAACTCACACTGATTTCATCCATCTGTGTTTTCTTCTCTGAAAATAAAAGAGAGCCATATTTAGTTTCCACAATTAAAAAAATCCAGTTTTAGTTTTTACGTTTCATCTGTGAATGTTCTCACCTTTAATTCTTGTCCATATGTTGACCGCCACAACGATCATTATGAGAGCTGCTAAACCCACAGACACCACGATGACCCTCAAGAGACCTGGAGAGAGAATACAAACATAGAAGATATTCATGTTGTAGGTTTTAGAGTTCAACATAGCAGAAACTGCCAATTCATCAACACAGAGTGAGTTAATCAAATAACTGTTTTCTTATTTATTCCATTAGAAATAACCCGAAAAAGGAAAACACGTACAGTTAAGAAGTTAGGGGGAAAGAAGGACGAAGAGAAAAATAAAAAATGTTTGTCAGTTGGAGCGTCGCTGATTACTGAAGGTGTCGTAGTGGAACCTGATTTGATTTTGGTTTCAGTTGTTGATTTTGTGTCCTCACCTGAACAGATGAACAAAAGTCTTCAGTCACAAACTGTCTGCGGTGAACCTTTGTACTGTTAAAATGTGAAACTAAAACTTCTAAAATAAACAAAATGTTCTCACCTGAGGAAGAAGGGCTGAAGGGAAACAGGGAAACGTATCCTGTGTAATCATCAGTTAGTTGACAAGTAAATAAATGAAACCCTGATGTGTAACCAACATGAGAAGTCAGAAATGTCACAGAGTCTTTTGATGTCTTCATATCTTTTTGATATTCATCCACATCTTGATGATTAAACAGCCACTTCACTGTGTGTCTGCACCATCCATTAGTCGTCACAGAGCAGCGTAACGTCACCTCATCATTGTCCTGATGTTCAGTCACTGAAGGTGGAGATATTGAGAGAGAAAGACAACAAGAGTTCAATTATCTTCATCCCTGTAATCATAACGGCTGGTATGTTTCAGTATATTGCTCTATTGAAGACACTATGATGTAAATACTCACTTCTAACAACAGACAGGTACACCAGAGCGTCTTCTCCTTGTTGTTGTCCTGATCTGACCTGTCTGCAGGAGTATTGACCAGCATCCTCCTCTGTGACCTTCTTTATACCCAGAGAACAATTCTCTGTAACTCTCAGTCTGTCTGATTTAGCTTTGGCTTCTTCACCAACCTGCCCACGGTCCACCAGCGTTACTACTGCTGTGCCTCCTGATTCATTGTAGAGCCAAGTAGTACCATCACATTTATCCTGATGGTCCATCACATTGGTACAAGGAAAAGTGACTTCATCTCCAACTTTGACAGTGAAGAAACGCTTTCCGGTTACTGCTGCTCGGAAAATGAGAGGGAATAAGAAAGAATGCACAGGAAAAACTATTTTTAAAAACACTTTTAAAGTCATGGGTAAGATCATTTTCAGATGCACAGTACATGGTAGTTTAGTCCCAGGCTCCTCAAATAATGCAAAATAAATATATATATATAAGACAAAAGAAACTATAAAAATACTGCAACAGAAACAGAATATAAAAATAGTGCAAGAGATGTGTAAGAAGTCAAAAGAATAAGATGAGCTAAATCATAATGTAAAATGAAATTATACATTATGATTACATAATATTTCAATAAGTACCTTATTGTTGGTTTAGGAGTTCACTAAACTCACCTTTTAGCTTCAATGAAATGTGGCTGTCTTAGTTAAATAGCAGTTTGTTTATAAAGTACAATTTACGATATCAGAAGATACGCTTTTAAAATGTTCCTGTTAGCTATATAGATCTGACATGTACTCTTACCCGTAAGCTGAAGCAGCAGAATGAGAAATAAAGACATTTTATTTGTGATTCCCATCGTGATTCTCCGTCTCTCTGCTTCCTCTGCCTCTTGTTCTGAAGACTGTCTGTGTGAAACGGTTTCCTCTGCCTCTTGTTCTGAAGACTGTGTGAAACGGTTTCCTCTGCCTCTTGTTCTGAAGACTGTGTGAAACGGTCTCCTCTGCCTCTGGTTCTGAAGACTGTGTGAAACGGTTTCCTCTGCCTCTTATTCTGAAGACTGTGTGAAACGGTCTCCTCTGCCTCTGGTTCTGAAGACTGTGTGAAACGGTTTCCTCTGCCTCTTGTTCTGATGACTGTGTGTGAAACGGTTTCCTCTTAAAGATGGTGCTTCTTCATTCTGTGATTAATACTTTGTCACTTCCTCAGAGTGACGTTATGAAAGATCATAGTTATTTTCCCACGATTTTATCATGGAGTTGGTAAGCATATTCTCATAACTCAAACTTGTCTTTTAAGAAACATATTAAGAATAGGGATGGGTACCGAGCCCCGGTATTAAACGGGCCCCAGGGCTGAATTATTGAAGACCGTGGTACCGTTAAGCTCCGACGTTATCGGTCTTGTTATCGGTACTGGAGACATGTAAAAAAGATATGTCATATGTATTATTGCTACACAAACATTATATTGCAGTTTTAGTGTCGCCAACTACATGCAACACACACACACACACACACACACGCACACGCACACGCACACACACGCGGCTGCTACATGCAGCAACACACACACACGCTCGGCTGCTACATGCAGCAACACACACACACACACACACACACACACACACACACACACACACACACACACACACACACACACACACACACACACACACACACACACAGCGGAGATGGCGGAGAGAACGCGCTCCGAGGTGTGGTTAAACTTTACCCGTCTCGATGTGGACACACACACACGGTGCTAACTCAATGATACAAACATGGGTTAAAGATTAGAGGTAACTGAGTTATTTATTTTGTTAAAGTTTCAGCTATTCTGTTTACAATTCTGTCATCAGATTATTTAATACGATTTGTTAAAACATTGTTGTTTCTTTTGATGTGAAATATTATTTATTTAAAGGTGGGGTAGGTAATTTTGGAGAAACCAGCTCGAGTGCGCTAGAATTTGAAAATACACAACCGGAAAAAATCTGCCACTTCCTTACAGAGCCCCTCCTCCAACACACACGAACGCGCACATGACCAATGAGGGCACGAGATAAGTTTGTGCACAGATGGAAGGCTGACAGGTAGGTAGGATTTTTTGTCAAAGCACTTAAGATATTCATTGCTATCGGGATGTTAAGAGCATTCCATGGAATATAACAAAAAGTGTATCTCGAGCCGGTTTCTCAAACTTACCTACCCCACCTTTAATTTAAAGTGGACCTATCATGCTATATTTAAATGATATATTGTAGGGCCATACCTATATAAGGTATATTTATACGTTTCTGTTTTCAAAATACCAAACAGATCATGCATTTTAGCCATGCCTCATTTCGCTCTATTTGCTGTTTGCTGTCTACGGGGCTGATTCTGTGAGACCACGCCCCCCTGCAGGAGAGGGGAGCCGTGCTCTGATGAAGTCAGAAGAGGGGGAGAAAAATAGATCTCCGTCCTCCGTGTTATTATAGGCCTATAGAGTCGTTATTCATTTGTTTTAAAGCTCAATAAATAACAAAGAAGACCTTTGACCGACACTTTTATAATTTTGTCCGGAAGATTTGAACTTTAAACTCTTGACCGGTGAAACTGAAACTGAAACTCTGCCGCACGGTCCCCTCGTCCCTTGGAAGAGGCGGAGAGGTGGGTGTTTGTCATCTGCTGGTGGACTAACCGGAGAGAATTACGGTGCTTGCCTCGACGGGGAGGGATTGCATTGAATTAAAGCAGCGGGAGCAAACGCTTGCCTCGGGGAGGGAGAAAAAAAGCCATAGCGGAGAATAAACAGAAGGGTAACCATGGTTACCATATGCGCGGGAAGTCTTCTTCGCTGCTTTTGTGGCAGACTACAGTGCCACTTACAGGCCTGGCATATGTACTACAGCGTCTCCAGCGCTTTCGAGCGGCAATGGCCGGCCGTGGCCCAACCCCACATTCCCCTGATAGGTGGAGAGTTGGCCCAATAGCCGTAGCGCCACTTTCCTGACGTCAGGACAGTGTTCAAATCTGGATCAGTTTTTATCAGATCCGTTGCAGCCCCTTTTTTAGAGATTTGGGTATGGAGGAAAATAGAGAGGGTTGTGTTTTCTGACACTTGGTGAGTTCCCTGGAACACCGGGGACACATATTCATGTATACAAGACGTACAAAAGTGCATTTTGCATGATAGGTCCCCTTTAAATAAAAAGCAATGTTAATTTTGTTCACAATTTGTTTATTTGTTTCTCCAAAAGAACCGATAAGAGTACCGTTAAAAGACCGGATCGATAAGCGGTATCGATAAAAGTAGTAGTAGGCCTACTACTACTTTAAAACCTTAACGATACCCATCCCTAATTAAGAAAGTATCAAATACTATTAAATCAACTTGCAACATTTTAAACAAATTAGACCTTTCTGTCAATGCTGCAAAGTCATACCTCCACTGCATGATTCTATCCCACATTGAATACTGTTTGACAAACTGGTCGTTTGCTTGTGCCACAAACCTGAAACCCATACAGCTGTACAAGAGGGCTATCAAGGTGTTTGACAGAAAGCCAAATTCATACCACCACTGTACCATCCTTGATAAACACCATTTCTTAAGTTTTGACAATTTTAAGTCTTTTAAAAGTATGTGTTTTATTTATAAATGTTTACATGGACTGCCCCCCCCCTTAGGGGAATTCATCCACAAAAAACACACTGGACGCTGCACTAATAAACGCCAAATAAACGATTAAATAAATAAATAACTGAAATGTAATAATAATAATACTAATAACATGTGCAGACAGTGGAAGAACAAACCACCCTTATTAGGACTTGTCACTTCCCTCTTTGTGTGTCTACAATGTACGTTGTAATGTCTATGGTGAGGGTTACTCCATCTTATTTGCCCTTGCCAAACACACATTTTCATTATATGTAAATTTAACAAACAATAAAGTATTCTGAATCAGTTTTCGCTGTAGAAATAACATTTTCCATGTACATGACACTGGATTTGTTGGAGAACTAGTCCGAAATCAAAACATATTTAGAAAACAGAAAGAAAAAAATGACAATTAGCAGCAAATCTTTATGTTTTTGAAGCTGGAACGGACAAATACTAAGCTTTTTTTCATTAGCAATGACTCAAACATTTACCTCGTTATCAAAATAGCAGCAGATATGTTTGGCAATTTACTAATTTCCATATTTTTCCTACAAAATTGCTTTTATTGATCTTCTCCCTGTTCCATATTCTTTTGTATTAATGAAGTTAAATGTGGAATGAGATTGATAACTATTTGAACATGTCTTCATCTCTGTCCGTCTTAAAAAAAAAGCACTTGTCAATCAAATATGTCAGATATTGAATACACAAGTTCACTCCTCCGAAATGCATTTACTGTATATGTACCATACATTTCCTATATAATGTCTATTATCTTACCTATTTTTAACAAACGTTAGACTGAAGAAATACATATTTTAGACCATTAAGTAGTTAGGGTTAGAGTCGTTTAGATTTTAGGGTTTTTGGTTGGTGTTGGGTAGGTTTTTAGGTTGTGATGCTTCTGAATAATACATGAACTCTCTCAATTATATATGTATTAATGATATATAATAGAAATGCTTTAACTTTATAGTCTGTTCTCAACCTTCTTAAAGCTTATTGGGGTGTCCCATTTCACATGTTTCCATTATGTCTTATTATTGTACTAGTATTTTTATTTATTTGAAAAGTTCTTATTTGTATTTTTCCTATCATGAACCACACATATTCAGTCGTTCCCACTGCAAATGAACGCAGCGTTAACACACACCCGTATATGATTGGAGGAGAAGGGAGAAAGGGGCGCGGTCTGAAGCCAACGGTAACCCGACACCCGCCCCTCGCGCGTGTGTTCTGCTTTGACTGTAAACTTTCTCCTCGAGCTCCGTCAGTTGGTCGCTGACCGTGGGACCGTTTGTACCGCGTTTTGTCTCTGCGTTTTAACGGAAACTCCTCCGGTAATCATGTCCAATTAATTAATTCGGTATTTTTGAGTAGGGGGAGATTGAAATACATCCCGTTGTGAGACATGGAGGCTGTGAGTAAGTGGACCCCGCAACAAGTGGTGGACTGGATGAGAGGTGAGCGATAACCGGACCTAACGAAGCTAACGGTCACTCTGTTAGCAAACAGTCTATGCAGTTAGCAGTTATTGAAGTGAACAATTGAGATGTTAGTTTGCATTGTGTGCTTAGGAATAAATACCGGCTAGTTCACTGCTGTTTAATAAAAAATTCTAAGTTTTTTTCAGCTGCATCTTTACCTTTCCTGACCTTTTATTGAATATATTTGTATTGTCTTTTTCAGTACTTTGTTGTTATCTTACATTAAAGCACATAACAGTCATTTGAAGTATAGTCGTGTAACAGTGGTGGGAGAAGTACCTTCATTCTGTACTTTAAATATAAATTCTGTGGTGCAAATTAAAAGTTCTGCATTAAATATTTAACTAAAGTACAAGTACATAAATGTATTAGCAAAATAATACAGTTAAAGTACCAACATTGGAGGTACTCGATATTGTCTTTGGTATATATATATTCAAATGTACTTAATGTTACTTTCCACAATTAGTTTATATGTAATAGTTTATGTGGTGTTTTCTGTTTCATTATGCATGCTATAAAGTTAGAAGTTTATGAAAGCTGTAACTTGCTATGGTTACCTGGGGTTGTTTTTCAGAGGTGTACATTAAAGCAGCATTGAAACAGTTAAAAAGGTTTACTTAAATGGCAAAATAAGACTTTTTTGTCCACACATTTGGTTGTTAGGCTCTGTTGACTCAGCACCAGGCTGCCTTGTTTACCCTTTTTTTTTTTTTTTTTTTACTGGCTGTAATTTTTCTGCTTGGTTGTTAAACTTGGCTGTTGAGAGGCAGATAGATCTGCACACAGCACTGAGCCGTGTGTTTATTTTCATTATAGATTGTCATTAAGCCATAAACAGGCCCTACCAGGAATCACATCATCCATAAAAAGCCAAACAGGCTCATGATTGTGCTTTGATAAAGACCTGTTTTTAATTAGGTGATGTTTGAACAAGTAGCAATAAGAGAGAAACTGTTTCTGTGGCACTTTTCAAGCCACCATTTGTGTCTTTTGAGATAATTGTTGTTTTTACATTTGAGATTTTTGCATTCTTGAAAGTAACACATTAAAAAGAACAGCTTGTTATCAGTGCATATTTTAAAGATGCATGCACAGGATTTACATTTTGGGCTATAAAAACCTGGAAAACTAAATATTGCCGTAACTTTTTAGAAAACCAGTGACCTAGAAACTTCAGATGTGCATCGACACAACATATAAGTGGTTATGAGGATGCTGTATCACATATGTGCATTAGTGCGAAGATTTAGTTTGTGTTGAGGAACAAATTGAAAATAATTAATATTGCATTATTGCATGGGATAATTAATACTTTCTGGGCATGTTTTTGAAGCATGTTGAAATTAAATGGTGCATTCGTTTATTTTATTACACTGACGTTGACTAGGGTCAATCTTTGCAAGTGTCCTGTAAATAAGCCCTCAGATTTTAGGAATATTTAGCATGATGTGCTGCCATTTGTTAATGATGACAAAGATGGCCACCATAAACAATGACTGCTTTATTGTCTGTGACTTCCAGTTTGACTTTTGAACTGAGGAAAACATGTAATTAACTCAAAAAAAGGCCAAGAGTCGTAATGTGTCCGAGTGCATCCCATCTTTGTACCAGATAAAAGTGAAAGTGAGCGTCCTTTGAGCCCAGCTTGTCCCCCGAGAGCACAAACACACAAACATACACATACCAACACACACGTCATTATCACCACAGACAAAGCAGAGCGGGGTCCATAAAGACTCGGACAAAAGCCGCTCTTCACAACGGTCGGCCTCCTGTCGTGTTCGGGGTCAGGAGGTCGCTCGGACACTTTTACCACATCTCACTGACCATCACACTTTTGTTCTGCATGAAAAGAGTGACACACACACTGCGGTCAGTCACATGACCTGGAGGGCTCAATTAGGCTCGTTCTCTCCCTTTTACTTCGTGTAAATCCACTCTGGGGTCAGATTAAGACGCAATGCCCCTAAGTAACCCGATCCAGGAAATCTGAATCAAGAATGTACTGTTATTTTCTAAAACAGCTGTTTCCTGTAGTTTATATCCAACGAACAGGAGGAGGAAGTGCATTGGTTGGGGACTATTTTCAGCGGCTTATCAATCCACTTTTTGGGTTCTAGTTGTGGCAGTGTTTTCAGTGAAACAGCAGAGCAGATTGCTGCCTCTGGTTGTAGGCGGTGAGGGTGTGTTTCTGTGTGTGTGTGTGTGTGTGTGTGTGTTTTTTACAGTGTACAACTCAAGCAACAGGTTATTTTAATGGAAGGTTTTGTCAGTCTCGTTAAAGTCTCTCACAGGCTGTCACCGAGCTCCTTCAGCTGACCACAAACATTTAACACAAATTCCTTGAATAACCCTGGAATATCATAGGCATGATGCAGGTGCATATTCTAAGAGAGGGAAAAGTCAGGGAATTCCATCATTTATTTGGGGGAAAAGTCACACAAGGTAGGGCTGTGCGATTATGGCAAAAATCATAATCACGATTATTTGGGTCAATAATTGATATCACGATTATTAAATACGATTATTCATTGACTTTGAAAACATCCATTTATTGAACTTTAAAACAAATACAAATAATAATTTGAACAGTATCTTTTTAACTGTTGATTACCCTGAACGTATAATTCAACAGAAAAACCAATACAAAAATAAATGATACATTTAAATAAATAATATCAAAATAATAAATACCAATAAACAAGATCAACAAATATTTTGGAGCGCACTTCCACAAGCTACTAAACATATATAAATATGATAAATACAAATAAATGAGACCAACATTAATTAGATCAAATATGTTGCAGTGCACAACCAAGCAAAGCAAAATAATTGTTTTTTTCGATTATGTTGTTTTCGTAATTGTGGCAGGCCAAAATCGTAATTGCGATTAAAATACGATTAATTGCACAGCCCTAACACAAGGTGTTTCTTGAATCTTAATTTAAGATAGATAACTCTCTAGTATTGAATCAGATATTTAGATTGAAAAAAATCTAATATATTTGAAATTGATATTCAACAAGGTAGTTTTTAAGTATTAAGGAGGACACATACAATGCATTAAAAAAAATACTTTATGAGTCATTAAGATAACCTAATTTCCTAACTCACATCTGGTCATTTAAATCTGAGCTTTTCAATGTTTTGGACACATTTATTGTGATTATAGAAATGTGTTTTTATGTGATTGTAGTTATTACATGTACAGCACTTTGGCCCGACCAAAAATCGCTTTTAAATGTGCTTTATAAATAAACCTTGATTTGATTTGATTTGATTTTAGTCGATACTGAAACAACACACACTATAATGTAGGAGTGAGAGTCCTTTTATGGCTTTCATGGTTATTTCATGTTTTGGTAGCTAGAGCTACTCTCGAGGTAAACAGCGATGGAGCTCAGCGTGTTCAGACAGATCACATACTTCCCTCTGCTCGTCTGACAGGTGCTGTCACACATGGCAGCGAGATGACGACTGAACAAATAACACGACACATGCAGTGTTTAAGAAGCATTGTGAGAAAAAATAACAATGAACAAGAAGCATAATCCACGAGCTGGGCGATGCATATTGTGATGCATCAGATACAAAACAGTAGGGTTTGATTCAGTTGAATTTGAACTAGGTGAGAACAATATGTTTGGACGACTAATTTGAGCTACTGTACTTTTCATGCCATTTTTACATCCTCTCCACTTAAGTTGAGGGGTATATATATAGTACTTTTATACTCAAACCTATGTTAATGCATGGGTCATTATGATCTAATAACATAATATAGAACTTGAACTATAGGTGAGGACAAATCTATTTTCACCAGCCTACATTTTGTGAACCTTTTTCAAGAATTCTATCACCAAAAAGAAATATTTTATTGATAACCCTGGCCTGGATTTACACCCCATTTCGTAACTTAACAACTTACATTATAACCCTTTGACACAGCATTTCCTTTGACATTTATCCGACTCTTTGGATGATTGTCCAATTTTTTTAATCCTGTCATCTTCAACAGGTTTTTTTCAGTTTCATACAATTTAGATTTCTATCTTGCACTTTGACTTGTTGACCATTCCTCCCTTCTGTTGTTCTGCCAAGATAAACTTGTTTTATCCCTCAAAATGGTGAACATCAGTTTGAGGGATTTGATCAAACAAAGCCCTTCCTGCCTGCATGGTCTTTGAAGGAAGGAAGGAAGCTGAGAAACATATTTGAAATATAATTATCAAACAATGTGCGTTTGTTTATCTGTGAAAAGGCGTACATAGCTGGACATTTCTGCTAGCTAACAAGTCACAAATACACATGTCCATAGATGTCCAACATAATGGCATTAGTGCTGCTGTGAGTCAGACACACATTAGTGTTTCTGTGGGAACTGAGCTGTGTTAGTGGAATATCACCGTGACTCACGTAACGATTTATTAATAGATCCTAAAGCAGATTGTGAGATTTGATCAGCTTGCGTCATATGCGTGAACAACTGAATGAGTAAAACCTGCATGACTGGTCTCCATTCTAGCCGCATGTAGTGATGTCACTGTGGTACAGCAGGAATTTTTCCCCTAGATAAAATGTTATTGCTTTTGGAAAGATTACAGACAGTTGGTCCCATTATTCATGATCCTCAGAGGGTGAATTTATTTTTCTCGGTGACTCTGGGATCATCCTTTAGTGCCAGCATCCGCTCAGAATGTCTACTTCTCCAACCCTCTAAAGCTAACATTAACATGCTTAACAAAGTCAGCTTGCTCAATTTTAGCATTTATCGTAATGACAAAATACATTTGTAACATTCCCTGTGTGTAAACAAACAAGTTATGTTATGGAAACACTCGTTTTTTATCCCCAAAAATGATTTCTGTGAGGTTTCCTCTTACAAATGTTAAAAGTAAAAATCATCAAACTCTCTAAACTGCAGAAACATGCCATTAATCACTTGTTTGCGCCGGATTAATGCCCCCTGT